TTTCAAATTGTTTTCCCTTTTATTTTTAATCTTATTTTTATATGATGCATAAGCAATAATTCAACCTCGGATATAAGATTTATATGTTTCCCATTCAAAAATACGAGCACTTGATTTTCTGAATTCAAATCAAAGTATTTCAAAGTCTCTACCCACATTTGTTGTACAAATTCTTTATCATTCAACGAGGAGATATTGAAATACCAATTTCTCGATACCTTGACCGGTTTCTGAAACACACAATTCAAAATAATTGCACTATGGTCTGATACATAACAAACATCAATATTACATTCTTGAATTTGATGATACAGAGTCGATGATATTAAAAATAATCAAATCTAAAAAAGTGCACACTTGAATAAAATGTATATTCTCTTTTAGTTGGGTACCTTAAACACCGGGTCTATTAAATTCAATTCTTCCGTATAAGAATTCTTTAATTGTTTCCCTCACTGATGATTGTTTTTTTTCGTATCAGTGTATTTGTCAAGCTCAGAGTCCAATATTTCATTAAAACCTCCTCCTATTATCACTTTATCATAATTGCACTCATTCAAGTGTTAAAAACATTCATAAAACATAATAGGAGAATCTAAATAGGGTCCATAAACATTAATTGTAGCTATAACAATCCCTGCTATTTTAGCACATAAAGTTAAATAACGCCGATTGTTATCAGTAATAATCTGTTGTACATCAATTGAAAATCTTTTTCAAACCAAAATGGCCATACCTTTAGCTGTCATCGAAGTATCTGTGAGGTAAACCTATCCCACCCAATCCTTCATTAATAGAGATTTATCCTGTTCCATTAGATGAGTTTCCTGTAGATAAGCAATATCTGCCCTTAACAACTTTAAATATGCTAAAATTACATTTTGTTTCTTGGGTTCTCGCAGCCCTTTTACAGTAAGGCTAACTAACGTCATCCGTTAATTTTATTTTGGCCCATTTATCAATATTCTCCCAATACCAATTCATTTTATAACCTGTAGCATTTAATAAATGTCTAATAATATTTTTTATGTTTAAATATATATCTTATTTCCTAATATTGCTCACAGACTTAGAACCTCCGTAGGAACTCAAATTAATATTCAAATAGCATTGTACTACATATATACAGAATCTGTACTTAAATGAAAAAAAAAGAAAATGTGATTATGTACAAAAAAATGAAACAGCAAACAAATAACATTATTACAAAAATTAAAGAGAACCCTAAAAAAAAAAGACAAAAAAATAAAGAAATAGAAATGCATGATCTCTCAGTAGGATAGAACTACAGTTTCATCTCTCTTATTATAAGTAAGTACAAAGAGCAGTTTCAAACTAAAATGGCAGCATTTTCTGACCATTTTCCATGGATAGGTGCAGTTAAGGGTGAGATTACAGTTTGCCTCCCAGAAATTATCTATTTCTACCCTTAAAGTGCCCTTTCCAAACACCCAAAAACATTCAGCTTTCCTTCTTGTTGGTGATATAATATGCTGTTCACTAAAGGATTAGGAGGTTGAGTTGTGGCTGCCAAACCTTCAGAAATTCCTTATTTGTAATTTAGCCATGGAAAACATGTTTCCTTTTATGTAGAAAGAATACATCTTGAAGACACTCTGGTTCTGAGTGTTAGTTGTTAGGAAAACTGAAATATAGAGATTGGGAATTTTAAGGGTTTTGTTAAGTAGAGAATGCTACACATAAGAAGGACTTATTTCATGTACAAATTGAATGTATTGCTATTGGTTGCAGGCCTCCTCAAAATCCAGCTTTATTAACCCCCAGGCCTCCAGTTATTACCGTACTGGGCCATGTTGATCATGGAAAAACTACATTACTTGATAGCCTGCGAAATACTCATGTGGCAGCAATGGAGGCAGGAAGTATAACACAGCATATTGGTGCTTTTCTTGGTATGATTTATTTGAGTATTATTCTTACTCGCCTTTGAATGAAGGATAAAATGGCTGTGACTTTCCAGATGATGGCGGATTTCATCTCCCATTATTACTCATTGGCTATGTTGGTACAAGCAGATAAACATTATCTGCACATTGCTTTTGTCTTGTGAATCAAAAAATAGCCTAAATGGATGGGGTAACACTGCCCCAGACAGACCCAGTGCGTAATTTGGGGGTCCTCCTGGACTCACGGCTCCTGCTCGAAGAGCAGGTAGCAGCCGTG